TTGGAAGGAACCCTGGATGTTTTCTGGTCCAACCCCCTCCTTAAGCAGGAAACTCTATACCATTTCAGACAAATTGTTGTCCAATCTCTTCTTAAAGACCTCCAGTGTTGGAGCAGTCACAACTTCTGGAGGCAAGTTGTCCCACTGATTAATTGTTCTAATTGCCAGGAAATTTCTCCTTAGTTCTAAGTTGGTTCTCTCCTTGATTAGTTTCCATCCATTGCTTCTTGTCCTGCCTTCACGTGCTTTGGAGAATAGGTTGACCCCCTCTTCTTTGTGGCAGCCCCTGAGATATTGGAACACTGCTATGGAATCCCTGGGGTAATTAGGCAAAAGTGATGCCAAAGCGACATGTAGGCCCATCATATATCAGGTTTTGGGGTGTCCTGTTCATTTCTATCTCCCCCTCCCTCCCCTAAGAATTCCACGGCACATTTTAACTCTGATCTACAGAGCACCATCAATTCTCGGTTGTAACTACATAAGACTCAAGAAGCTTTACTGTTCATTCTCTTCCTATTGCCATGGAAGTACAGCTCATTCACTACCAGTCAGACAGGATTAAAAATGACTCATCTGTCAGATTGATGATGATGTTCTGATGCACATAAGAAAGGGGGATGGGGTTCAATTATGATCACCATCTTGACTTTCTTTCCTCTCCACCCAGTGATGAGTCTCTTTGAGGATCTGATTGACCTGAGTCCAAACTTCCTAATCTAAAGTCAAGGCTCCTTTCTGGCTTCTAGGGCAGGAGAAGGAAACCGTACATAAATTAGACTTGTGGCAACATGTCAGGACACTTCCTTCATTCCCACCAATTTTATTTATACAGTGTTTCTCAATCTTGGCAACTTTAACATGGTTTGACATATGTGCCTCTATGGTCCTTTACAATTCACNAGTTGGAAAACAATGAGAATTTCTCTTTCCTCTGACTAGTTAGCATGTTTTCCTGGAAGTAGTGGCAGGGAAATGGTACAGTTCAGCATCACATCTGCTATCCTTATTAGGAGTATTTGCCAATTTCCCCACATTATTGGGTTCAGAATTATAAGTCATTGTATTGAGTTGAGATGTGTGAAATGTTATTGCTGTTTAGACGCTGGTCAGTTGATTTAAGTGTGTCCATTCTTGGTCAGAAGTTGCTGTGATCTTCTCACCAATTTAGCTATTGCTGATCCAGCTTCTTAATGGTTAAATGTTTTATATATTCTTGGATCCTACTGGAATCCAGATAATTTTGTGAACCATTGACAGGACCAGGGCCCTCCAGGGGAAGGGACAAAGGCCCAAGCTAACGGATCAACTATTTGATTGAAGTCCTGCTTATTTTTCACAGAATAACAGAATGGGAAGGGATCATGGACATCTTTTAGTCCAACCCCCTATGGATACCTTATGCCATTTCAGACAAATGGTGGCCTAGTCTCTTCTTAAAAACTTTCACTGTTGGCACATCCCCAACCTCTGGAGTCAAGTTCCACTGATTAATTATTCTAACTGTCAGAAAAAACCTCCTTTGTTCTAGGTTGCTTCTCTCCTTGATTAGTTTCCGTTCATTGCTTCTTGTCCTGCCCTCTGGTGCTTTGGAGAATATCTTGACTCCTTTTTCTTTGTGGCAATCCCTGAGATATTGGAACACTGCTACCATGTCACTCCTAGTCCTTCTTCCCTCCCTAGTCCTTCTTTTCATTAAACTAGACATAACCAGTTCCAGCAGCATCTTTTTTACATCTTTTACACTCTGGATATTTCATCCTAAAATCTGTTGAGCAGCATAAACATCCTAATTGGCTAATGCTGAACTTTAATGCTCTCTATCCACCTTCAAATCTTCAGAAAACAGGAGTGGCATAAAAAACGTTGTTAACACTGCTCCTATATTGCCTGCCTTCTGGCTCACTGATGAATGATTATGTTGTGATTTAAGAATATTAAGATATATTTAAATATATTTAGGGTTTGGTTAAATTCTCTAGCTTTGCATATACCTCCTTTTGTGCCATTGTCTCTGACATGAATCTAACCGAAATGGTGTGATTGATGGTTACTTTTTAATATATGACTAATCTTACAGGTTTAATTAAAACCTGATAGTGAGGTAGTTGGTCCGTGGGATAAGAGTGGGATGCCTCATAAAACAAAAAATCCTATTTTCCTTTATTGGGCAACTCGCCTCCCCAACCTTTATTGGGCAACTCGCCTCCCCAACCATGTTAAAGACATCTGGTGAATGTTTTCCCACTAAATAATAATGGCTAATAGGGGAATAGGAAAGTCCAGCCAGGAGGATACCCCAAACATGATGCTTAATATACCAATGGAAGATAAAGACTCCCTACATGTGCTTTTTTTTATTTCCAGAGCCATCTTTCTGTCTGGCTCTCCTCTTCAATAAACTGCAACCTTCTTTCTAAAGCAGTCGCCATATTGTTTATTCCCATCTTGGACTGAACCATGATGAAGACTTTTCCTTCAACAATTTGGCACCCAGAATGGGACTCCAAGCTAATCTCTCCAATGGACTGAGACTGGTAAGCCCCATCTTGCTGGAAGCAGACCACCTTGTGTCTGTGGATGGGTTTCCCAGGCCCTGCCCATGTGGACCCAGGGTAGTAAAGGGAGTTTTGGGTTTGAGCACAAGGGCTGCTTTGGAAAGAAGGTGAAGGTGAGTACCTCTAAATTTTAACTCTAAAATCCAAGGGGAGCAAGGGAAATGTGTGTATGTCTGTGTGTGAGAGTGAGAAGACCCTTTTCCCAATCACAGTTGGATTTTGCTCCCTCTGGCCTTTCCTAGCTGCAGAAAGGATCTGTTCAAGTGGCAGGCCCTGGAAAGCATAGGTGTTTGGCCAGAGTGCAGGACCTTTTGTTAGGGAAAAGGGAGAGGCTTTGTGAAAATGGAATGAGTGAATGAGAGAATTGGATTTGGGCAACCAGCTGGTAAGGCCCTGTAAGCAAAGCCCGAAATTAGGAAATTAAGCCCTGGGCTAGGAGCGTCCCTTACCTCTGGAAAGCAAGCAGAGGTCCTCCCAGACATTTGAAGCAAACAATGGTGGTGAAAAGTGAAGGTAAAGCCAGTAAGAGAGCGTCCCGTACTTTCTGCAGGAAAGACCCCTTTGTGGTCTGAAACCATGGTGGTAGATCCCTAAAGGAGTGTCCAGTACTCTGTGAGGGATCCAGAGAGCTCTGTGGGTCCCTTTTTGACCCAAAACTGTGATAGTAGGCGGAATTCTCACTAGGAGGCTTCAGTGCGCCAGACCCGATAGAACCGGTGAACCCCTACATCAGGAATAAGGGAATCATGGGGTGTTCTAGGGCTTTGTTGGGAAACCAATTTGGCTAAATAAAGGTACTTAAAAGGAAAATAAGAAATAGTGATTCTCTCTCTCCCTCCCTCTCTCTCTCTGCAACCACATGGTATATTTAAGATTTGTGCCTTCCCTAATTTGAGTTAATTGAGATTTATGGTAGGAATGACTAAGATGTGTAGAACTGAAAGTTCTTTTTCCTTCTCTGTTCTCTTTTCCTTGTCTTTGTGTATATATGTGTGTCAAAGTCTTTGTGTGTGAGGTAAAGGTGACTGTTAATTGTTTCTAATCCAAAGAGAAAAGAATTAATAAAATTCTGCTAGAAATTCTGCTTAAATTAAGCCACCAAAAGGAAAATACCCTCACTGTTTGTCTGGCCAGAGTGAAGAAAAATGTGTTTGTTTGTTTGTTTGTTTGTTTGTTTTTCTTCTTCCTTTCTCTCTCTGTACTCTTAAGAACAGCCCAAAGTTAGCAGGAGGGAATGTTTTAAGTTCATCTGCTGGAAAAGTTTCACTCTTGCATTTAATGTATGTGTTGTAAATGGGTTTTATCTGTCTATCCTTTTCCTGAAACACGATCAGCATTTTTCAAGTTGCAAGTCCTTAAGTCTTAACATATTCAAATGTTCAGTTCAGAAATGAGACCTTTCATTTATGTTCTTACCGGAATCCAGCCTCTCTTCTGTCCACGTTGTCCCCATCTTACCTGTTGCTTTAGCCACTGCAGTAAATACCTTTTCAAACTCTGTCTGCAAGCTACTTCTCCTTTAATTATCCTCTGTTCTCCATGCCTTTGTCTTATCCTCTGTTCTTCATGCCTTTGTCTGCCTCTCCAGAAAGGGGGGAGGAGATCTTGTTCTCATGTCTTTCAGCCCTGCATAGATGACTCAACAACCTTTTGGAAGCAGACCACACTGACCCAGACGCTGCCCCCATCCATTTGAGTCATGGAATTGGGTTTTGAATCCAGCCACCCATTAAAAAGCCAAAATTCAACCTGAGTGGAACTGATCTTCCCAAGATGCCTGTGAAAACTGCAGAGGAAGGAAGGACCTCTGGAGCCATTGGTCCCCACATGAAGACTCAGAAGAAAACTAGGAGGACTATGGGGGGAGGGTGGAAACTCATTGTAAGATTTTCTTTCTTGCTCCATTTGTGTCACTTCCTCTGCCACTGTATGCAGTCCCACAAACAAAAGAAGTTTGTGGGACTAAAAAAAAAGCTCAATCAATCAATTCCAACTTCCCATGAAAAAAAAAAGATCTCGCAAAGTTTGAATTGATTGATTGAACTTTTTTTTTTAGTCCCACAAACTTCTTTTGTTTGTGGGGCTGCCCATGGCGGCGGAGGAAGTGATGGAGAACTGCGTTGGAGCTGGAAAGAAGGTGTCTGGATGAGGGATTGTTGGTTCTAGGGATCTTTGCCTTTCTAATCCCATCAACACAAAGCTTCCTGGCTCCAATCTTTCTGAAAGGATTATCAAATCTGCATTTCTACAGACCTGGTTTCTGCTTGGGGCAGAGAGACTCGGGCTTGCTTTCCTTTGGGGAAATATAATATTCTGTTCTTTTTAATATGCCCCCCCAATATTTCCTTCTGTATGAGGGTGGGTGGGTGCTGACTTCCAACAATTGAACACATGCAAATGACACAGGCAGGTGTTAATAACATTATTCTCAAGGGTGAAGCCTTACAGCTCATTGCGGAAGACCAGGCCACTGCCTGCTAAAAACCTGGAACAGATTTCCTCAATTTTTTCATTTTGAGCCACAGTAAGATGCTCCTTCCAGTCTCCTACAATGCCTATAGGTGGGAAACAATCCAAGAAAATAAAATCAGCAATTCCTGTTTCCTGAGCTCTTTTACAACTATTTTATTACTTCAGCAATGGAGTGCATCCTTCTTTCTTTCAGAGGGTCCCTATAATTGGACCAACCGGTCCCCAAAGAGATTGAATATGAGGGGAGGAGGATTACAAATAGAACACCGGATCTGCGTGTCAAAACGGATTGTCAATGAAATACAGGTAGTCCTCAATTTCTGTCAAAAATGCAGCCTGCCCTTTAAGGTCACAAGTCTTGATGGCAGTAAAATAGATGGGTCATGTGACCGACCCAATTTTACTATCTTTTTTGCAGTAATCATTATGTAGCCATAGTAATCATAAAACAAATGTGATGGTCATTAAGCAAACACAGCAGTCCTTAAGTGAACCAGTGGTTTGTGATGGGTACGATTTCGCCAAAAACAGAAGTAAATACCAGTTTTGGGCAAAATGTTGTAAAGTGGTCATGTGACCATGGATCGCTTAAATGGCCATAAATGTGGCCTGCTTGCCCATCTAAAGTTCAGTCATGTGACTGTGGGGAGGGGGGAACTCCTGACCATCATGTCAGAAAAATAATTTGGGGTTCCAATTCGAGTCAGGGCTGCGCAAGAATAAATAAAAATGAGATCCAGACAGCTGCAAGGAAAGAAGAAATATTTATTCCTAAATGCATAACAGTTTGCATTTAGGGCAGGCTGCAGAAAAATGGGGTACAGCAGCAGATTTTTATAGGGGGAGCTTGTCCGGGGTATTACATGCTGATACAGATGTCCTCTCCAGAGCAGGCCTATCATCAGTTTACACTCTGTTGATGAAAGCCCAGATGCGCTGGGCAGGCCACGTTGTAAGGATGCCAGACCATCGCATCCCTAAACAGCTCTTCTATGGTGAGCTGTCTCAAGGAAAGCAATCGCACGGGGGACAAAAGAAGCGATACAAAGACACGCTGAAAGCATCTCTCAAGTCCCTGGATATCGACACCATCTCTTGGGAATTTTTGGCGCATGATCGACCGACATGGCGTACCCTGGTTTACCAGGGGTGCCAGATATATGAACACATGAGGACAATCTTGGCACAAGAGAAGCGAGCACTCCGTAAAGCCAGAGCTGCAAATGCTGAAGCAACAGTGTCCACATTTCTCTGTTCAGTATGTGGCAGAACATTCCGTGCTAACATCGGTCTCATCAGCTATCTACGGACACACCGTTGATGGCCCACAATCCACAAGATGTCAAGGTCTTCATCGAAATCGATGGATGAACAACACATGCTGATTGTAGGGTGACACATGACGGGTGCACCTGTATGGGGATGTGTATGTGGGTGTGTTTATTCTTATGAATATGCAGTTCCCCTGGGAGACATTATTTTATTAACTCTGTTTGTGTTTCTAGAATCTAGACCTTATCCATTTGATATGTGGATTAGGTCTGGGTAACTTATTTTGGAGTTTGAGGAAGTTTGCTAATTTGATTAATGTGGAGACACTGATTCTTAGACCACTGTGGATTTTTTTAATAGAATAAAATTGAATAACAGAGTTGAAAGGAACCTTGGAGGTCATCTAGTCCAACCCCCTGCTCAGGCAGGAAATCCTATACCATTTCAGACAAATGGTTGTCCAATCTCTTCTTTAAAATATCCAGTATTGGAGCACCCACAACTTCTGGAGGCAATTTGTTCCACTGATTAATTGTTCTAACTGTCAGGAAATTTCTTCTTAGTTCTAGGTTGCTTCTCTCCTTCATTAGTTTCCATCCCTTGCTTCTTGTCCTGCCTTCAGGTGCTTTGGAGAATAGCTTCACTCCCTCTTCTTTGTGGCAACCCCTGAGATATTGGAACACTGCTATCATGTCCCTCCCCTCATCCTTCTCTTCATTAAACTAGGAATACCCAATTCCAGCAACAGTTTATATGTTTTAGTCTCCAGTCCCCTGATCATCTTTGTTGCTTTTCTCTGTACTCTTTCTAGAGTCTCAACTAATATTTTAAGGGAAGATGAAAACAGTATAAAGAATAAAATATATTTGGATATAAAACTTCTAACAATCAGAACTTTGAATCTGGGTCATAAGTAATACCCTTTGTGGCCACGGACCCCCAAGACTTAACTTAAGATTTAAATCATAACATTTCTTCTAGCCTTTGCAGACCCCCTGTGATGACATCATAGTCCCCCAGCGGTCTGTGGATCACAAGTTGAGCGACATGTTTTCAAAGAAAAACCAAGAAAGTCCAGTTGCCTTTTGAAAAGCACTTTTGGAACTTGCCTCCAGGAGTTTTGGGTGCTCCATCTCTGCAGGTGTTTAAGACGAGATTGGACAGCCATTTTTCTGAAATGATATAGGGGCTCATGTGTGAGCAGGGGGTTGGGCTAGAAGACCTCCAAGTTCCCTTGTTGTCAAGTTCCCTTGACCCTGATGGCCCCTCAACGGCCTCCTCCACCTCCTCCTCAGATTCCTCAGACTCAGCTGTTGGGAACACAGGCTGGCACGGAATCACAACACTCACATCCTAGCTACTGTCTCAGAACAAAAGATTCAACTTTTTAACTTTCTTTTCTAAAAACCTTTTTTTTAAAAAAATCACAAATTGTGACTGCCATCTAATGGACTAAGTAGAAAAAACACTTGCATGCACAATAGATTTCTGATTTGAAATTCTCCTGCTTTATATGATCCACATCCATTCTTCCCAACTATTTGGCACTTTTTCCTCCTATTTTTGGCTGCATCCTTTGTGGTTGAAACAACACTAGCAGTAAAATATATAAGGAAAAATCCTGTCAAGCATGTACAACCAGTTATTTCATCTCTGCTAATTCATGTATGCTGATAAATAATTAAAAATGAAGATAAGCCCTAAAAATGCATCTATGGGCATTTTTTAATCGATCAAATTATTCACTGCCAATTTCTGTTCTGGATTGTTCTATCCTGAAATGTCTAGATTTGCAAACTGCACAACTTACAGTGTTCCTTCGCAACTCTTCTGAAGTCGATGCCTGTGCTTTGCGCTTGTTTTTTCGCCACTATTCCTGAGAACTTCACCAGCCCCTCCTATTAACATTCAGCTTCAGTTCTGTTCCTCACCTTTTCTTATGAAGGGCGACAAGGCTTGGTTCATCACAAAGGCAGGCAAAGTGCGGTAATTGGCCATGGAGTTGGTTTTCATCGCCTCAAATTTTGTATGTTCAGTGATCTCCTTCAGAATTGGATCTGGGAGTTTGAAGTCGAGGAATTGAGCGACCTTCTGGATTTCTCTGGCTGGATCCTAGGACAAATATGGAGAGAATTCTGGCTATGCTGGCATGCTGTAGCCCGGTGCCAATCCACAGACCAGGGGTTGGGGACCCCTGATCTACAGTATAGCACTGGCTTCCAGTTTCTTTCCAGCTGTGATTCAGAGTGGTGATTATCATCTCTAAAACCCCACATGTTATAGGGCCAGTTTATCTATGGGATCACCTTCCTATCCATCATGTCCAATAGGATGGGTGCATCCAGATCCCTTCCCTCACATGTCATCTAGTGGCACCAGGAAGCATGCCTTCTGAGTAGCAGCCCCTGCCCTAGGAAGCACCCCGCCACCCAAGATCTGGCAGGACCCTCACCCTCGTAGCTTTCTGGAAGACTTAAAAAGATGATTGCCCTTCCCTCCCCAGATACGACTCTGGTTATGGCTTTTTCTGTATTCAAGAGTATTGGTTTAGGACACTAGGAATTGAGATTTTATTGTTTTGAGTTTTTTTTTAATGTTCTTGTTACTGTTGCTCTGAGCGGCTGAGAGCTATGGCTCGTAAGATGGGCCATGCAGAAGGAACTTTCCTTAGGCCCTACCGCTTGTATTTGTTATCTCCTATCTCATGTTTGAAATTTGTTTGGTGCAAATGTATCCTGTGTGTATGTGCACACATAAGCAGCTTACTTCTTTTATGTCTTCATAAAAGACATACAGGATTGGGTGACGGTCCTTAGCCTCCCACCAGCCTCGGACATGCTCAAACCAAGAGCCCCAGGCAACTGCAAAAAAAAATGACAAGAGAATCTTGCTTTATCTCACTATTCTTTCTGCTTCATAACTCTAGGCTCTAGCACCTTTCCCCTCAAAATGGCTTTCATGGGTGATGAACTATCTTGGTTGAGAATGATGGGAACTATAGTTCTTGGGGAAACAATGCCCTTCAGCTTCTCGGATTTAAGGGAAAAATCATTAACCATTTTTTCCCCAGAAGTCACAAAATTACCTTTGGTACAGAGAGATCCATACTTCTTTTTCAAGAGTAGTTTGGTAGCTATACTTTATGTTTTCTGTAGGCCCAATGATGACTGCCATCCAAAGTTTCCTTATGGCAACATGGGTAGCAAGTAAATTTAATAAATTAAATTGATGGTGATGGCATGATCACATATTGCTGCTGGGGATTCAGCAAACAATCGGCTCCCACATGCTTTTCATAACTATTATTTCTTGGCTTCCACCTACTTTTTCCTGTAAGGAAGTTCTCTACAAACTGATCCCAGTTCCCTGGCTCCGGCATCGTCTGGTTCATGCGGTGAAAATGGAAATAAGAAACAATGGTGTCCTTAACATTCCTAGCTACATAAATGACCTGCAGAAAGGACAGAAAATCATAAAGACTCTAGGATAACATTTTCATATGCATGCATACATATATCTATGTGGTTTTTAACAGTGCTTGTTTTGTTAAAAAAAAGAAAAAGGTGCCAGAACTCACACACATCATATAACCCGCCTTGCCTACCCTACAAGGTTTATCTTTGTAACTGAAAAAAAAGCCTTCAATTTTAATGTATCTAAATGACTAGGATTTTGTTCAAGGTAAGTTAATACTATTAATTTTACCATGCACTGGTAAAATTTAAATTCCAAGAAGGCATTTTATTAATCTTTTGGGATCACTGGCATACCCATTTAGTTTAATGAGTGGAAATGTCAGCTTTCTGTGTGGAATGAAATTGGCCCAATAAAACACAATTTGGTTGCTTGTAAAAGATTGAATTATTTTTAAGAAATTGTCAAACAAAGTGGAAAAATTTACATTTGGAGTTTAATATGGATATTGACTTGAAACAAATTAAAGTTGAAACTTTGTCAGTGAACAGATTATTTTTTAATTTACCTTTAAGTTAAACCCAATTTAATAAATAGATCTGATTAAACCTCATACTGTACATCTGACCAATACATAATTAATGTATATTATTATTATTAATAATACCTCCAAATGACAAGACATTGGCTTTATTCTTATTCTTCCTCTCTGCAGTTTGAATATAAAGTATAAAAGACCAGAAAGAGATTTCCGTAGACATCCCAGCCTTTGAACTACCCAAAGAACTGAAACAGCAAAGTTTCGCTGTTGGGCAAGCTTCCACTCCAGCTGCCTTTCTTTCCTCTCGCTTCACCTCTTTTTAACCTCATGCCCCACTTTCTGTAAGGCAAAACACTCAGTGACCCTCTCGTGAAAGATGGCCTCTGTTCCGGAGCGTTCTATGACAAAAAAAGCCCCAGTTTCTAAGAGTAGACACTGACTTGATGGCAAATAATCAAATCATATATATACACATACACATTCACACAAACACAAACACAAATCTTGCTCTGTCTCACGTAATTCCTATTTGCTGCCTCTTTTCCAGCACATAAAATTATCATATTCTGTCCAAACTTCAAACGCTGCCAAATTCAACCTATTAAGCCTCTCACTTTTATGTTCCTACATTTCCTCTTCTTATGAGCATATAAGCTCTTGGTTTAATTTAGGAAGCTGAAAAGTGTACTGAGGCTGAATTCAGATGATAATTAAGATTTGCTTTCCCTTGTAACGGGCAGAAGGAATGACCTTGAAGACAGGAGGAAGATCCTCTACTAAGATATTGGTCAGATAACAGAAATTTGAGTCTGGAACAGAACTGTAACCGGAGAAAACATCTCAGACATGACTGTCCCTAGTTCTCATGAAGATAAAGGAAGGGAAGACGGAAGCGCATTCAGACTTCCAAGATTCTATTACCATAACCTTATAACAAAAGTAGGATTGGCCTACATGACTTTTGTTTTCTTATCGGGTCTACCTTGAAAAACTGAGATTTCCATCAACCAGATTGCAGTTGTTCTAACCTTGCAATTCTGTTCCCAGAAAGAAGGTGGGAGAAGCTGGACTGGGAGGTGAGATTTCAGGGTGCGCGGGGAAGGCATTGCCTCTGCCATTTCCAAACCTGCAAGATGGGGGTGGGGGTGGGTGGGAGAGGGATGGACATTATTCAGGTTCATGGTAAGGAAAACCTTCCTCATCAGCCCCATGAAGCAGTACCGTGTTACTCACCTGAAGATATGGGTTTTATAGGAAACAAGTCTATGAAGGGAATCCGTTCATATATGGGAGCCCTTACACATTTTTGTTTGTCTCCTCCATGCTGTATCATGTCCACTATTTCTTGGATCCAGGTAGTCCCTGGTATGAGGAACATGGAGAACAGATTGATCAATCTAAAGATTGGGTTCCTGTTCCTTGGTCTTTCGACTTTAGGCTTCGTACCTCTTCCCCCAAAACTATTTTGTCAGGCTCTTCCACATCTCCTCCCCACTTACCTGCTTTGGGATAAGTGCAAATGAGAAGATCATCAGGCTGGGCTTTAAAATTCCTTAAGAGCTCCAGGTTTGCAGCAGTACTATCAAGTAGAGAGATTCCTTCAACTTCCACCAGTTTTAAACGTTTGTATAACCTTGGATCAAAGTCTTCCCATCCTCTTCTTAAAAGCTCCATGATTGAATGGAAAAGCCAGGAAAAGGGAGCTTATGACCTGCAGAGATGTGATCACAAATCTTTGGGGTTCAGTGTTCCAGCTTTGCAAAGATTCTGCTCCAGAGTTCCTTTTGAATGAAAGAGTCACGTTTTCGTCTTGCACTATATAATTCCTGTCTGTCTCCACCCACTTTCTCTTTTGTTTCCTAACATTTCTGCAAGGGCTGGAAATTTGATATGCATATTTTCCAGGCAGCAGACACTCAGGAAAAAACCTCCTGAATAAGTTCACATCTTGTGAGGTGGGTTGTGCTGAGAGAGAGAGCAACTGGCCCCAAGTCACCCACCAGCTTTTACACCTAAAGAAGACTAGAACTCACGACATCCCTGTTTCTAGCCCAACATTTTAACCATTACACCAAACTATCTTAAGATTTTGTTTCTTATGTTCTTACTCCCTATCTTAAAATAGAATTCTCTGGTCACTTTCGGTCTATGTTTCTTAAAATAACTTCTATCTTATTTAATACACAATTTTTTTATACCTTTCGCTCTATATCCTGATTCTAGAATTCCTATTTCTATCATTTCGTACCTCTGTGGAGGTTTTTTTTCCCCTCCTCCATCTTCAGCTCTTGTAGCCAAATCCATCCAATTTGAACCTGAAGGCCCTTTTTGTTTCTTATCCAAGGGCACTTGACCTGGGAGCATGCTGTCCTGGAAACTATTTGTAGAATGTCCTCTAGTTGTTCTATGCAGCTGGCCAACCTTGCAGACGTCGTTCAGGCCCTTCCCGCCTTTTGGCTCTGTTGGGAGCCCACTTCACATTTGTCATTCCCTTTTGACCGCCAAGTTGGGACTCTGAGTTCGCTTGGCACAATCTGTGAATGGTTGTGTTTTTTTTTTCTGGGACTATGCAAACATTCTGGTCCAATCCCTTTATCACTACAGATGCAAGTAGTCCTCGACTTACAACCACAATAAGGACCAAAATTTCCATTGCTAAGCAAGGCGGTAGTTAAGTGAATTGCACCTGAAGATAATAATAGTAGTAATAATAATAATAATAGTAGTAGTAGTAGTAGTAGTAGTAGTAGTAGTAGTAAAGTTGGAAGGGACCTTGGAGGTCATCTAGTCCAACCCCCTGCTTAGGCAGGAAATCCTATACCATTTTGGACAAATGGCTGTCCAGTCTCTTCTTAAAAACCTCCAGTGTTGGAGCATTCACCGCTTCTGGAGGCAGGTTGTTCCACTGGTTAATTGTTCTAACTGTCAGGAAGTTTCTCCTTAGTTCTAGGTTGCTTCTCTCCTTGCTTAGTTTCCACCCGTTGCTTCTCGTCCTGCCTTCAGGCGCCTTGGAAAATAGCTTGACACCCTCTTCTTTTTGGCAGCTCCTAAGATATTGGAACACTGCTATCATGTCCCCCCTCGTCCTTCTCTTCATACACTAGACATACCCAATTCCAGCAACCGTTCCTTAAAAACAGATATTATCTTTTTTTTGCCACGGTTATTAAGCGAATCGTTGTGGTCGTTAAGTGAATCATGTTATATACTGGGATTGGCGAGACATTGAAGACACAGGAGTGAAAGTAACATCTTGTTTATTCAGTTCACACAGAAGCGGCTCTAACCTCCGCTTGACTCATATATATACGGACCGCCACTAGGCGGCAGCCAATGATTTTAAAGCAAACATTCCCGCCTAAACACAGGCTTGCAATTATACAACAGACAGTTAAGGATTTGTATCAAACATATAACTAACCGTTTTATAACAGTCCTTATGAAATTGGGTTAATACACAACAAATCACATGATTGTTAAGCGAATCGAGCTTCCCTCGTTGACTTTGATTGTCACAAGCTAGCTGGGAAGGTCGCAAATGGAGATCACATGACCCTGGGACGCTGCAGCCATCATAAATATGTGCTGGTTGCCAAGTGCTTGAATTTTGATCATGTGGGGATGCTACAACAGTTGAAAGTGCGGGGACTGATCACAAATCACTTTTTTCAATGCTGTTGTAACTTTGAACAAACAGCTGTAAATCGAGGACTATCTGTAGAGTGGTTTCTAGTTCAATTTGCTGGCCTTTCACGGGACAACTGCACATATCTTCATTTGTACTTCCCAGTCCCCTCCACTCCACCCCCAAATACATTGAAATCAGCCGTGCAATAAATCTTTATTTCTGCTGAGTTCTGAGTTCTGCTGACACCGAGAAGGGTCGGGGAATGTCATGAGATGTTTGGTGCCCCTTGTAGCTGACTAGGAGGAAATGAGAAAAAGTATTTAGTTCAGTGCTTCCCTCCCTGAGCTAAAGCAGTTCTCGGAGTAGATACTCTGCCTTTTGCTTCTTTTCTTCTCTGAAAGTGTGTGTGTGGTGATGGTTGTGGTGGGGATTGTCATTTCCAATAGGTGCTGTATGCCTCTGGCTGACAGTTTTTGTGCTGAAACCAGAGCAGCTGGGATAAAGAGAAAGCTGGCTTCCAGTCAAAATTCCCTCCCTGCACACTCTCACCAATTTAGCTATTGCTGATCCAGCTTCTTAATGGTTAAATGTTTTATATATTCTTGGATCCTACTGGAATCCAGATAGTTTTGTGAACCATTGACAAGACCAGGGCCTTCCAGGGGAAGGGACAAAGGCCCAAGCTAATGGATCAACTATTTGATTGAAGTCCTGCTTATTTTTCACAGAATAACAGAATGGGAAGGGATCATGGACATCTTTTAGTCCAACCCCCTATGGATACCTTATGCCATTTCAGACAAATGGTTGCCTAGTCTCTTCTTAAAAACTTCCAGTGTTGGCACATACACAACCTCTGGAGTCAAGTTGTTCCACTGATTAATTATTCTAACTGTCAGAAAAAAATCTCCTTTGTTCTAGGTTGCTTCTCTCCTTGATTAATTTCCATTCATTGCTTCTTGTTCTGCCCTTTGGTGCTTTGGAGAATATCTTGACTCTTTTTTCTTTGTGGCAATCCCTGAGATATTGGAACATTGCTATCATGTCACTCCTAGTCCTTCTTCCCTCCCTAGTCCTTCTTTTCATTGAACTATTTTCTTTATTGGCCAACTCGCCTCCTCAACCATGTTAAAGATATCTGGTGAATGTTTTCCCACTAAATAATAATGGCTAATTGGGGAGAAGGAAAGTCCAGCCAGGAGGATACCCCAAACATGATGCTTAATATACCAATGGAAGATAAAGACTCCCTACATGTGCTTTTTTTTTCTTCCAGAGCCATCTTTCTGTCTGGCTCTCCTCTTCAATAAACTGCAACCTTCTTTCTAAAGCAGTCGCCATATTGTTTATTCCCATCTTGGACTGAACCATGATGAAGACTTTTCCTTCAACAATTTGGCACCCAGAATGGGACTCCAAGCTAATCTCTCCAATGGACTGAGACTGGTAAGCCCCATCTTGCTGGCAGCAGACCCCTTGTGTCTGTGGATGGGTTTCCCAGGCCCTGCCCATGTGGACCCAGGGTAGTAAAGGGAGTTTTGGGTTTGAGCACAAGGGCTGCTTTGGAAAGAAGGTGAAGGTGAGTACCTCTAAAGTTTAACTTTAAAGCCCAGGGGAGCAAGCGAAATGTATGTATGTCTGTGTGTGAGAGTGAGAAGACCCTTTTCCCAATCACAGTTGGATTTTGCTCCCTCTGGCCTTTCCTAGCTGCAGAAAGGATCTGTTCAAGTGGCAGACCCTGGAAAGCATGGGTGTTTGGCCAGAGTGCAGGACCTTTTGTTAGGGAAAAGGGAGAGGCTTTGTGAAAATGGAATGAGAGAATTGGATTTGGGCAATCAGCTGGTAAGGCCCTGTAAGCAAAGCCCGAAATTAGGAAATTAAGCCCTGGGCTAGGAGCGTCCCTTACCTCTGGAAAGCAAGCAGAGGTCCTCCCGGACATTTGAAGTCCGCAAACAGTGGTGGTGAAAAGTGAAGGTAAAGCCGGTAAGAGAGCGTCCCGTACCTTCTGCAGTAGAGCAGAAGAGTCCTTGACAAACCCCTTTTGTAGTCTGAAACTGTGGTGGTAGATCCCTAAAGGAGCATCCAGTACACTGTGAGGGTTTCAGAGTGCTCCGTGGGTCCCAAAACCATGGTAGTAGGTACTAGGAGGCTTCAGTGTGCCAGACCTGATAGAACCGGTGAACCCCTACATCAGGAATAAGGGAATCATGGGGTGTTCTAGGGCTTTTCTGGGAAACCAATTTGGCTAAATAAAGGTACTTAAAGGGAAAATAAGAAATAGTGATTCTCTCTCTCCCTCCCTCTCTCTCTCTGCAACCACATGGTATATTTAAGTGTTGTGCCTTCCCTAATTTAAGTTAATTGAGATTTATGGTGGGAATGACTAAGATGTGTAGAACTAAAAGTTCTTTTTCCTTCTCTGTTCTCTTTTCCTTGTCTTTGTGTATATATGTGTGTCAAAGTCTTTGTGTGTGAGGTAAAGGTGACTGTTAATTGTTTCTAATCCAAAGAGAAAAGAATTTTAAAATTCTGCTAGAAATTCTGCTTAAATTAAGCCACCAAAAGGAAAATACCCTCACTGTTTGTCTGGCCAGAATGAAGAAAAATGTGTTTGTTTGTTTGTTTTTCTTCTTCCTTTCTCTCTCTGTACTCTTAAGAACAGCCCAAAGGTAGCAGGAGGGAATGTTTTAAGTTCATCTGCTGGAAAAGTTTCACTCTTGCATTTACTGTATGTGTTGTAAATGGGTTTTATCTGTCTATCCTTTTCCTGAAACACGATCAGCATTTTTCAAGTTGCAAGTCCTTAAGTCTTAACATATTCAAATGTTCAGTTCAGAAATGAGACCTTTCATTTATGTTCTTACCGGAATCCAGCCTCTCTTCTGTCCACATTGTCCCCATCTTATCTGTTGCTTTAATCACTGTAGTATTAATACCTTTTCAAACTCTGTCTGCAAGCTACTTCTCCTTTAATTATCATTGACAGCTCCTCTGTCACTTCCTCTGCCACTGTATGCAGTCCCACAAACAAAAAAAGTTTGTGCGA